AATAGATTTGTAATATAGCTTGAAATCAGAAATTGGGATGCCTTCAGCTTTGTTCTTCTTTCTCAAGATTGCTTTGGCTATTCAGAGTCTTTTGTCTATCAGAGTATGAATAACACTCAGTGTGGCACCAGTTATAAGACAGTAATAAGACAGATTTTGTTATTTAAGTTTTCAAATTGATTATAAGTTCCTTGAGGGCAGTTGATAAACTCACAGATATATTTAGTTCAGTAACTTTAGTTAGGGTTTTGTTTAGTTGGCCTAGTGTTCTCCTTGCAAGAATTAGAGGGCTGGCATTGATCTGTGCAAATACAGGAGCCAGTCCCGAGTCAACATATATTTGATTTATTCATAGGCTATTAAACCTGGACATCATGCTCTGATAACCAAGCTAATTTTATTTTTGGATGATTTTTCTGCCTCTGGTTTTCTTTTTTACCTCTGGTTTCCTCACACTTTTAGTTACAATAGGTGATTTATTGACATTTTTGTTCCCAGTCTTTGCTAGCTTCCTGGTTGCAGCTTTTATGTAGAAGAAAGTAATCTTTTCCTCTTTGTAATAATTGTGAAAACTTTTTTTTATAATGGAATGTAAATGGGTACAAATAGTTCACAGCTTATGGTTTTTAATCTGGTGTTGCATTGCTTTCTTTCAACATTAAAACAGTTTTACCTTATCTGACAGAAGGTTACTAGTAGTATTTTGTCAGCGTCTTCTTCATTGCCTTAGAGAAACTCTAATGTTGAGGCTCTGTACACTTTGGGTGAATGCTTCTTGGAGGAATAATAGCAAAATATGGTGTGAGTCTTGGGGAGCAGTTACCATTTCAGAGCAAAGGCAGGGCAGAACCACCTCGTGATTAAGAACAAAGATTAAGTTGTGGTTTTGTCACTTACTGTGAGTAGCCTAGTACAAATCTCCTATTCCCTTTGAACTGCAAATGCCTCTTTATTAAAGTAGGATGTTGTGAGGGTGATATAAGCTGATTTACATAAAGAATGAAAATCATGGTACCTATTACCTAGCAAATAAGTTGGTAAATGGCAGCTATTGTCATTATAACATTAATAATGATGACAATGACAGAGATGATTATAATCATCTTAGAAGGGCCAGGTAAAATTGACTGTTTCTGTGTTTCTATTTTTGAAGTATCTCTAAGAGTGACTTAATTTATTACAAATTATATCTACTAGTTAGATTATCTTATGGATACATTTGATCACAATAGAAATAGTAATATTACTTCAGCATAGTTATTTTATGAAAATACTGAAAAAAACTTTTTATTATAGCCAATTATTACTAATTCTGCAAAATAATATGTTAAGCAGTTTTCCTGTAGTATTTGTGGCTCATTGAGAAAATCCATGAAGATAATCCTCTTTAGCAAGTTTTGTTTCAGGAAAATCAAATTGAAGCAATAGAATAAGGTGAGCAGGGAATGTGAGGACCTACACAATTGGAAAAGCTAACCCCAGACTTAACTGGTTGAATGACCACTTCTGCTGAGACCCTTGATGACTGTGTTGTATAACGTCCCTTAGTTGGCTGTTTTGATGTGTGGTGTCCTTTGTGAGGTCATCAATGACATTATCAAGAAGACAGAAGCAGTGATACTGAGCTAAAGTCAACCGCCTGTCAAACTCTTATCCAGGTGACTGCCAGGCTGCTATCTGTATGGGATGGGCACTGGCATTTTTCAGGTAAATAGAACCAGTTCTCTATTCTGTGTTTCTAATTGTTCAGTTCAATTCAGTCTTTGCGACCCCATGAACCGCAGCATGCCAGGCCTCCCTGTCCATCACCAACTCCCGGAGTCCATCAAAACTCATGTCCATTGAGTCAGTGATTCCAACCAACCATCTCATCCTCTGTTGTCCCCTTCTCCTCCTGCCCTCAATCTTTCCCAGAATCAGGGTCTTTTCAAATGAGTCAGTTCTTCGCATCAGGTGGCCAAAGTATTGGAGTTTCAGCTTCAACATCAGTCCTTCCAAAAAACACCCAGGACTGATCTCCTTTAGGATGGAATGGTTGGATCTCCTTGCTGTCCAAGGGACTCTCAAGAGTCTTCTCCAACACCACAGTTCAAAAGCATCAATTCTTCGGCGCTCAGCTTTCTTTGTAGTCCAACTCTCACATCCATACATGACCACTGGAAAAACCATAGCCTTGACTAGATGGACCTTTGTTGACAAAGTCATGTCTCTGCTTTTTAATATGCTATCTAGGTTGGTCATAACTTTCCTTCCAAGGAGTAAGTGTCTTTTAATTTCATAGCTGCAGTCACCATCTGCAGTGATTTTGGAGCCCGAAAAATAAGTCTGACACTGTTTCTACTGTTTCCCCATCTATTTGCCATGAAGTGATGGGACCAGATGTCATGATCTTAGCTCTTCTGAATGTTGAGCTTTAAGCCAGCTTTTTCACTCTCCTCTTACACTTTCATCAAGAGGGTCTTTAGTTCTTCTTCACTTTCTGCTATCAGGGTGGTTTCATATCTGCATATCTGAGGTTATTGATATTTCTCCCAGCAATCTTGATTCCAGCTTGTGCTTCCTCCCACCCAGCGTTTCTCATGATGTACTCTGCATATAAGTTAAATAAGCATGGTGACAATATACAGCCTTGACATACTCCTTTTCCTATTTGGAACCAGTCTGTTGTTCCATGTCCAGTTCTAAGTGTTGCTTCCTGACCAACATACAGGTTTCTCAAGAGGCAAGTCAGGTGGTTGAAGAATTTTCCACAGTTTATTGTGATCCACACAGAGGATTTGGCATAGTCAATAAAGCAGAAGTAGATGTTTTTCTGGAACTCTCTTGCTTTTTCGATGATCCGGCGGATGTTGGCAATTTGATCTCTGGTTCCTCTGCCTTTTCTAAATCCAGCTTGAGCATCTGGAAGTTCACGGTTTACATATTGCTGAAACCTGGCTTGGAGAATTTTGAGCAGTACTTTACTAGCGTGTGAGATGAGTGCAGTTGTGCGGTAGTTTGAGCATTCTTTGGCATTGCCTTTCTTTGGGACGGGAATGAAAACTGACCTTTTCCAGTCCTGTGACCACTGCTGAGTTTTCCAAATTTGCTGGCATTTTGAGTGTAGCACTTTCACAGCATCATCCTTCAGGATTAGAAAAAGGTCAACTGGAATTCCATCACCTCCACTAATTTTATTCGTAGTGATAGGGAAGTCCAATTAGTCCAATTAGGGGATAGCATGCTATCTCTGGGCTGCTAAGGTTTCATTGTGCGATTGATTGGCACCCATTTGAGTATTTATAACCATACTAGAAATGGTGATGCTGAGCTGTGACAAACTGGTACTTTCCAAATTGGCCAAGTTGTGGTTTTCACAGTCAGAAAATCGTGGACATTAGGTTTTGCTTAGGGCTGACTGAATGTTGAATGGAAGCCTCAGCCAGTATACAGCAACTCTTCTGCATAACTTGGGAGAGAGGGGACAGTTGATGCAGAGAAGGGGTGGAAAAGAAAAGACCTCCAGTTGCAGAGAACATATGCTTGTAAAATATTTTTCTGGTGAGAATTTTAAAAATAAAGATGAGTCTTAGAATTTAGGAGTTTGTCAGGAAAAAGAATGAAGATTAGAGAAAAAATAAAATTTTAAGAAATGCCAACTTTTATTTCCGTATATAATTTATAGTATTCCAAACTGAATTTTACTGTAGAGTCATCGTTACCAACTGTACTGAAATCCTTTGATTTAAGATAGTTATGCTAATATTCTATTCATTCAACATGAACTCAAACATTTTAGCTCTATCATAATTTACATTGAGACAGTGTATGCTTTTTACTATCCTAGGTTAAAACTGGCCTCACATTAAATACTTTGAGTCATGAGATCTGTGGAGTAGAAGGTGTGAGTCTAGATAGGTCAGAACTTCACCCATCAGGCAGTAGGGTGGTGGCTCCGCTGTAAGATTTGGGTGTGCCAGCCGCTGCTGTAAGTGGAAGACTTAGGCGGGTCAAATTGCTCAATATTAACTCTAAGTTAGAATTGTTTTTAATTGATCACACAGTGTTATCTTTTTTGTTTGTTTAGCACAATAAAAGGGAATAGGCTTTTCAGTGGAATTTTCTTTTTTTTTTTTTATTTTTTGGTTTCTGGAAAATGTTAGACTGTATAAGGCCTCGAACAAAAAAAAAATCAAGCAGTTCCATCAATCCAAATGAGCAGAAAGAAAGTCGATAGCTAACACAGTGCAAGACTTTATTTAGAAATATACAGTGAGCATGAAGGAGTGCTGGATCTAGAGGGTTTCCCCTTGAAATTGTGGTGCCATGCAAACTCTGACTAGAAGAAACCTTTTTCATTCTTTTAAAAGTTCCCTTAATGAAAAAAATTAGAGCACTGTTGGATCTGTCATTTTGTAGAAGGGTCAAAGCATGAGTTTCCTTTCCTTTTTAATCTGTAAAATGCAGACTCTTCCAGGGATAGAAATGTAAGTGTGTTGGCTTTCAGTTTTAGTGAGAAGTTTATTCGGAAGGGGAAAACTCAGGAAGAGAGTTGCACCAGGGTGGAATTAAACACTTGCCAAAGAATGCGGAGAAGGCATGAGGTTCTTTGTGATGTTGAATGACAGAAGACTTCGACTAGTTCTTTTTTGTGGAGGGGATTAGTGGTTGAACAAATTTGCAAGTACAGCTTGCAATTTTGTCAGACACACAATGACATTTCTTTTCACAAGCTCTCTTGACTTTATACTATTTAAAAATCCTCAGTTGTCTCTGAATTTTCCTCTTTGTAATTCCTGTTGGACAGTAACTTTTATGTTGTCAGTTTCCTAGGGTTTTTTGTGTGTTGTTTTTGAGTTGTGGTATACAAATTGGTATGTTAATAAATTCCTTATGGTTTGTTTTTCTTTCTAGTTTAACATAATTTCATAATCTATACAGTTTCTTTTTATGATTGGATTATTATGTGATAAAAGTCTCAACTTTTTTGTTTCCTTTTTTTTTGCCTTTTAGGCTAAAAAATGGCATTTCAGAAGGCAGTGAAAGGAACTATTCTTGCTGGAGGAGGTGCTCTTGCCACTGTTCTAGGCCTCTCTCATTTTGCTCATTACAAAAGGAAGCAAGTAAGTAATTATCCATGTATTGATTATAATATGAAACTTAAGTCTGTTAAAGTACTGTATATGAAACAAGTGTAGGCTAATGGTATTGTTTAGAAATTACTATCTCAGCTTGATCTGAAAGACACTAATTTAGAATATTGCCTTAATGATCATTGAGAACTATGTGTATCTCATTTTTTAAAAAGTAAATTTCTTTATCAGAAAGCATTATATTACTTAACCTCTGTTTTGGCTCTTTGGTTTTAAAAGACTGCTTCATTTCCGAGTGCCATGGTTTATTCACTTAGACTTTCTTTGTCTAATTCATCCAAATGTCTGGATACCTTCTATGTTCCTGCCAAGAGTTTCTTATTAGCTGGCAGACAGCTGAGAAAGGAAATGGGAAAAGAAAGAGCCTACACAAAAGACCCAAATCAGAATTTTGGGTTTATTTCTGAAAGGTTTAGTTACTTATGTAGCATTATTACTTATATTGGGTAAAATTTTTAGTGGGAGAAAGCTATGAAAATGAAATTGGCATGAAGTTTTCAAATAATTCAGAGTGTTGGTTTCTTTTATTTTTTTCCCCCTTTGCACTACAGCTATGCCTTCCCATAGTTCAAGTTGATGCCAGGAAATAACTTTTGGTTTTGTTCTTGAAATACTAACTCAGTAATTAGTATTAATCTCCTGTCCCCTCTTCCCAACGTCATTAGGACTTTTTGTGATACCAGCTGGTTGGTTCATTCCAGATTCAAAGACGAAGGTGAAGGAATTTGGGACACTGTTTGCAGTTGGGCTATGAACTACTCACACCCTACATTTTTGTGGGAACCTTTCAGCCCTGCCTGGGTTGTCTTGTTCTTGCTTCTGTTCCTTTGTGCTCCAGGGTGGTAGAGCCAGCCACATTGCTTGGAGTCCCATGTCCTGAAAGGGAACTGCCATGTAAAAAACACATATTAGGAAGAATCAACTTGCTGGCTTGTATATTGAAAAAGAAAAAAGCGCTAAGTTTCAGTGCTGCCTCCAAAAGATGGACAGTATCAGATATAGGTTGTGCTGTTTCTTTCCATTCTTAACTGTGAGCACATTACTCTTTTTTTTTTCCCCCTTTGAACTTTTCATTTTGTAGTGGGGCATAGCTGATTAACAATATTGTGATAGTTTGAGGTGAACAGGGAAGGGACTCAGCCATCAATATACATGTATCCATTCTCCCTTGAACCCCGTTCCCATCCAGGCTGGCACATAACACTGCGCAGAGTTTCCTGTGAGCGTATTACTCTTAAGATTTCCCTAAGTATACATGTGGCAGGTACTACTGACTTTCTATTGAAGCTCATTCTCACTCCTGAACACACTTGATGTACTATTTCTTTTAAAATGTTTCCTTGGTTCCTTAAAAATAAGTGTGAAAGATGATGTTGTTTCTGCTGAGGCTATTTTAGAAGTGCAGTTCTGTTTGGGACATGGACTTTAACAGATTAGATTTCGTCTGCCATCTTTACCAGTACACTCTGATACGATACAGGAAAATGCCAGTGCCAAAGGTCCCGATATCTAATATGATGAGTTGTTGCTAAATTTGTACATGGTTCATGTCTCTTAACCATAGTAAGCATGTTCTATTTCAGAATGTATAGCTTAACTTTGTACCCAGGGAATACTGTTTCAGAAATATATTTTTGTTGTTTGATTTCTCTTTTATTTCTCAATAGAATAAGCAGTTGATATTGCCTCCAGTGCATCAAATTAAGGGTTAATTTTAGTCAGGAAAATCAAGTCTAGCAAGGGTCTGTTGATTCCCAGACATTTTGTCATTTTCTCCTTCCTATGTTAGACATCCTGACCACCCTAATAGCCAGATGAAACAGATACCAGCAGTTTTGAGTCATCTACAATTTTAATCTGACAAGTTATTTTGAGAAGAATCACCATAGGCAGATTCTGTCAATGACTTGCAGGAGACACGCGCCCAAGTGCATGTGTTCTTTTGTGGTGATTCCTGTCCCTTAAAGCCACTGCTATGAGCGTGTTTTTGGTAGCAGGTTTGGATGTGGCCATAGGGATTGGCAGAAAAAGAGAAAGGGCTATGAGTGGAGGGAAGACCAGCTCAGTTGAGCCATTGACATAAAACGACCACAGGCCTTAGCTGTCCTCTTTCAGAGAGTATCTGCCAATCAGAGCCATTCTAAGGAAAGAAAATTTCCTGACTTCAGTAGTCAAGAAAAAGCTGTCCCTTGATGCCCCTTATGGCTACATTTTATAGAAGCTGTGGCCTTAAATGTGACTAGGTATGCTCTTATTTTTCTAGAGAGCAATGCTTAAAAGTATTGGCTTGTGTTTTTTCCCCCCATTTTTATGAGATGATGCCAACCAATAAACCGTCCTCCTTTACTGATGAGTTAGTGTTGAAAGCCTGAGGTACTGATGGCTGAGAAAGCAGTCGGTTGACTTTTACGTTCAGGCACATTTTGCTGGCAATCCTGCACTTGAAGCACTGCTTCCACTGGCCCCAAGCTGGGGCTCATTTGATATTCCTGGTACAAAACTTCCTTCCTAAAATACAGACAGAGGTTGTATTCTAAATACAAGCGAGCTGATTCTAAAAGGTGGTCAATTGTTTCAGCACCTTTGGTGATGGATGCTTTTGTGTTTTGGTGCCAGATCAGCTCACAAAACTCTTTGAAGTTAGCTTCTATTTGCAAGGAAAAGAATAGAAGGAGAACTATTATATTATATTATATAACTTTTTGATCAATTAAATGGAAAACAGTAAAATTCACTAAAATGTGATTCACTTCCCTTTTACTCAGTTGCTTGAATAAAAGCTGCTGTAGGTGAGGAAACAGAGATATTTGTGAAGATTGGCATTTTGGGGGGCAGGATGGAGGTTATAGGTGATAGTAAGGATTTTTTTGTTCCACCCTATTTTGTGGTGTGACTTTTCTTCATGCAAGCATATTATTAACACTTATGTTTTTCAGTAGTGAATAGTCTCCACTGTTGACTCAATTCAAGAGAATTTTTTTCTTCTTTTGAGATAAATAAGGTCACATTTGGAAAAGGTGGAGATCACGGCCTAGGGAGAGAGCTGTGGTGGTGGTGGTGGTTATATTTTGGAGCTGGCACACTAAGTCTTCAGTGCCAGTGAGAGAGCTGCTGGGGGAAGAGAAGATGAATGGGATGTTGGCCTCTTTTGACTGTGTCCACCGGCAGGGAAGGAGGTTTGTGGCCACAAATGGCATTCATACTCCAGGCTGCTTCCAGGGGTGCATGGAGGATTTTCTTCTTTTTTTAAAAAGATTGGCTGTTAGAGCAGTGATTTATTTATTTTTCGTTTGCACTGGGTAATCGCTGCTGCTCAAGAGCTTTTCTCTAGTTGCCGTGAGCAGGGGCTCCTTTTGTTTCAGAGCACGGGCTCTAGGGTGCACGGGCTTCAGAGGCTGAGGCGTGTGGGCTCAGTTGCTCCTCAGCACTTGGTATCTTCCCGGACCAGAGACTGAACCCATGTCCCCTGCATTGGCAGGCAGATTCATGTCCGCTGTACCACCAGGGAAGTCTGTAGGAGTTTTGTTGAGTGGTCTTAGAGAGGCTTACTCATTCCATTTCCCCTCTCATTTCCTCACCCACATGTAGGTTACCAAGTTTCCACAAACCTTGATGTTTCTCTCTCCCCAGACTAGCCATATACAAGGAACAGGAGGCTGAGTATTGGCATATAAACACCCCCAGCACTGTCTTAAATCCCACCGGTATGTAGCAAGCAAACACCCCTGCACTGGTGTGCAGATTTTCCAGAGCAAGTTATTATCATTCGTTGTTTAGTATAGGGGGCTCCCCTGGTGGCTCAGCAGGGAAAGAATCTGCCTGCAATCCAGGAGACCCAGGTTCAGTCCCTGGGGGGGTAGGTCCCCTGGCGAAGGGAATGGCAACCCACTCCAGTATTCTTGCTGGAGAATTCCATGGACAGAGGAGCCTGGCGGGCTACAGTCCCATGGGGTTGCAAAGAGTTGGACATGACTGAGGGAGTTTAGTATAGGTCTGTTTAATAATAAACTTTACTTGGAAGGGACCTGGAAGCCATCCAGTCTTCTCGGGAGAGTTTGCTCTTCTAGGGTTTCCTTGCCGTCTAGTGAAAGGTGAGTGTCACTTCATGGGACAGCTTCCTTTTCTAATTCCAAGCTGGAGGGAGAATTGACTTCATGAGCTTTAATGAGAATGGACTTTAAGTTATGAACTTAAGAGGTGGTAACTAAGAGGTAGCTTAAGGAGCAGTGTGAGGAGCCCTACAGTCAGGGCTGCAGGCGGGTTCCTCAGGGCGATGGGAAGAATGGGGGAAAACTAGGGTAGGAATGCAGAGTTTTCTCGGAGAGCTGCCTCGGACTTTTGTCTTTGCAGTAGAGACTGAGGGTCTTTTTCTGGAAAAGTAAAAAATATTTAAACTCCATGTTTCTTTATACCCTCTAGGGCCTAGCTGGAAACTGGTGTGACAACGTGGGCTTCTTTTTCACCCCAGCGGTGTGGCTGATGTAACAAAGATCTATTTCGGTCTGAGGGTGGCCCTCTCACGTAGGCCGTGCTCAGGTGTTCCTTCCATTACCCTTTCTGGAGGTGTGAGGGCTTCCTGAGCCAGCTCTGAAGTGAAGCCTGAGAACCACAGACGGCTTTCTCAAAGCCCGGATGTGAACTTTTTTTCTGTACCACACATAGGCAGGGAGTCTCTTTTCAGTGTGAGGAGTGATATTAGAATCCAGGAAATGAGAGATTCTCATTGATCATCAGCAAGAGATTCATCAGCAACAGAAAGGACAGGAACACAGTCTTGGGAACGTCTTTGCAGGCTGTCTGAGTCTGACTGCCAGCTCTGCTCCTGAAGAACTGAGTGACGATGGGCAATTTTCTTAAATTCTCTGGGCCAACCACCCCCCACCCCCACTCCCACCATCTACAAGATGGGAGAAAACAGTGGTACTTTCCTCATAGGACTGTTGAAGACCATTAAAGCATGGGAGAGTTCC